TTTTATGTATAAAAGAAAGAAAGAAAGAGAGGAAGATATAATTTTTTGATGGAAGACATTTCTTCATTGCAACATATCATGAATATATACTAACATAAACTCAATATATATCATCTAACAATAACGTGGATTAAGGAATTCCATCTGTGCACATATACTGAATATATACTAACATAAACTCAATATATACCATCTGAGAGCTGCGCACATATACTGAATATATACTAACATAAACTCAATATATATCACCCGAGAGGTGCGTGAATTAAAGAATTCCAGTTGCGCGAAAATTATGTTTTGAAATTCAAATATGATATATTTCCATCTTTAATCCTGAAATCTTGCGCTACAAACATGGAATGGTTGTTCTACCTACTTGTAACTAATTTTAGGCATGAATGTAATTAAATTTTATGTATTAGGTATATACACAATTAAATTGGTATGAATTGTAATATTGCAATTACTTTCAAATCGTGTAGCATACATAAAAATTTCCCCAAAACCAAACTTACTAATATAAATCCACCCTTTTGTAGACCGTGCTTACGCCGTAGGCCCATTGGGAGAATGCAGAAACGAGATCAAAGCAAGCTGGGCGGCTCCGCCCCTCCGGCAGCCAAGCGAGGCCGCCCTGTCGGCAGCGGAACCAACGCTGCAGCAGTCGCCGCAGCCACAGCCGCGGCTGTGGCCGCGGCCGGAGGTGATTCTGCCTCCCCTTCCACCCTCCTCGGCCCCTCTCTTCATGTCCACTCCGCCTTTGCTGGTAATTCTATCTAAACCCCCAATTTCTCTGTAATTAGTTGCCGTGTTAAGCATCGGAGCTTTGCCATGTAAGTTGTTAGTGTAAGCATCAAAACGCAGATATTTCTTCTAAAGTTATTTGTTAATTTATGCTCCCGTGCTAGATTTTATGTTTTAACAGTCAAGTTATTTTTCTCAATAGTTGCTGGGATTTAATAGATCATGGTGTTTCGGTAACTGACAAACTTCATGGAAATTGTGCTTACAAAAATGGGTGCATGCTATAGCATATCTTTACACTTGGTTAATTTCCTTGAAGGGACCAAGAAATATTCACCAGTGACCCACAATGCCTGGAAACAGAATAGACTGTAGTTTCGTTTGTTAAGAACGTAGAAATAGTAGTGCCAGGCTAAATAAATCCTTTCCCGTTCGTGTTTATGATTTTTTTTACTCCTAATATAACCTAAGATGTGCATCTTGGATTAGAATATGTTAAAGTTTTCTTTCGTTTCTCTGAAGTATACGAATTAGTTACTGCCCCATAAGTTTTATTCTTTTTTCGACCACTTTACCAGAGCAGAATAGCAAAAGGATCGTCTTAGCTCTTCAAAGTGGACTTAAGAGCGAGTTGACTTGGGCGATGAATGCTCTCACTTTGCTTTCATTTAAAGAGAAGGACGAAATCCGGAAAGATACAACTCCCCTAGCCAAGATTCCTGGAATGCTCGATGCTCTACTTCAAGTTGTATGTTACAATCACTATACTTATGAATGTACGCGTGTTGTGTTAATGTCCTTAAATCAAGATTATTGCTGATTTGTTACAGATAGATGATTGGCGTGATATAGCTCTGCCAAGGGTTCTCACGAAGGCACCTAGAGTGAGGTTGCTGGGTGCTAATTCTGCTGTTACTGGATTTGGGAACCAATACGAGACCTTGAATTTGAGCGACTCTGTTCCACATCCTATGTACGTCAATATAAGTGTTTTAGTTATGTTGAGTTTATTGTATCATTATAAATCCTGAATGTGTCATTGTTTGCGTGTATTAGTGCTGGATCTGGTTCTTCAAGTAAAGAGGTTTCTGCTCAGAAGAATACCACAAAGCCCCGCGTGTCAGGTTGGTGGTTTGAGGAAGATGGCCTATTTAATCTCGATGATGAAGGACGTGTCGAAAAGCAGCAGTGTGCTGTAGCTGCTTCTAATATTCTAAGGAATTTCTCTTTTATGGCTGAGAATGAAATCCCGATGGGCCAGAATCGTCATTGTCTAGAGACAATGTTTCAGTGTCTGGAAGATTATGTTACAGGTGGAGATATTGGAGCTAAAATTTGAATTACACTCCTTTTTTCAGTTTAAATGTGAGGCATAATGGACTTTGCCAATTATTGTGTACTGAAATGTGGAAAATTGCATTTTATTTTGTGTTTTTCTGTTGACGTTTCCTTAATATTCTTGAAATGTTGACAGAGGATGAGGAGCTTGTTACAAATGCCATGGAGACAATCATGAACCTGGGCCCGTTGCTAGACCTTCGAATATTTAGCTCATCAAAGCCCTCTCACATCAAAATGACGTAACAAGTTCGACTCAATCTTTTTTATCTCGCCATATTTCAGCAGACTTTGAGATAACAATTTTCTATTGAATTGCTTATTCTAGTGGAAAACGTGCGGCTCAGGCCATTATGGGAATGTTGGGGTCTGCAGTCAGGCACTGGCACTGTGCGGCTGCAGAATTACTTGGTCGCATGATACTTAACCCTGATAACGAGCCTTTCCTTCTGCCATTTGCTCCGCAGGTCTACTCATTATGGCTCACATCTATGTGTTGATTTATAAGCTCAGTCTACACTCTTGACAGAGGATTTATTATAAATTACAGATCTACAAACGATTGATTGATATTATGAGCTTCCCGGCTGGTGATGCTCAGGCTGCAGCTGTTGGAGCATTGTATAACCTTGCGGAAGTCAATATGGACTGCCGGACGAAACTTGCCAGTGAGAGATGGTTGGATATAATTACTAAAATCTTGAGATACTGCAATAAGTTACTCTGCCGTGGACCTTAATTACATAAATGAAAATAGAAATGTATAAATTCCAGTTACATTTAAAGTACGAACATCATTCCTGATAATAACATGGTGCAATTTTTAAGAAAAGAAAGATAAAAACAATGTCAGAGGATTTTTAGCAAATTTGAAAGATATCTCTGTACCTTGAGTATAGCATTTGTAAATTTATCATGAAATTTCTTTTAGATAGTTCTCATGTCACAGTTCGTATCTAAGGTGCTTATTGTATTATATTTTTATTAGGGCAATTGATCGGTTGCTGAAGGTGCTCAGGACACCACATCCAGTGCCAGAAGTTTGCCGGAAGGCAGCATTAATCTTGGAGAATCTCGTGATGGAGCCGCAGAACAAGCCATTGCTGCTGGCCTATGAGAATGCATTTGCAGACATGGTTTTCTCGGAGTCGAGGCATGCAGATACTTTCGCTCGGATATTGCATGAACTGACTTCTAGGCCGAGTAACAAAGTTGCATCTGCTCGTGGTATTTGGGGTATGTAGCTTATCGACTTCATGTCAGTGGTGTTTGTCATGGACCCATGTACTACAGTGTCTTAATTTTAGTGTAATATGGATTTTGTTTGTATTTGGTTGTTCTAATCTGATTGCCGGTTGTTGATCTCTCACTATATTTTTGATTTGTTGAGGTGCTGAATTGAACATCAGAAATAAGCATATGCTATCATGCCCTTACAGTAGTTTCGCATGTTTTACCTCAATAACAACATGGGTTTGTAAAGTCAAAATTACTTCTCTATTTCACATTAATTGTCTGTATGATTGTGTCGATACTATAGAATACAGCCAGAGTCGATACAATAGAATAAAGCCAGAGTCGATATTTTTCTCAATCGCTTAAACCTGCCACCAATGATGTAGACGACCTCGAGTACCGCTCGATAAGTAGCAAAACCCTAGTCGCCTTCCTTTTAAGATGCCCACCCTCCAAAAAGCTCCGGCCTGCAAGCTGCACGAGCGGACCCTTGGCCGCTGGCCCATATACCTCTACCATATCCCTCGACAAGAACACCTTCTCCAGCAGCCCTAGTGCCTCCCCCTTGAGCGACTCAGAACCCCACCTC